TTAAATAAATATCCACTAGGCATATACTCATCAATTTTAATTGCTACGCATGGTTGTTCTTCAACTGTACAACAGCATCTTACAAGTGTAGCTTATTGGATTCACAGGAAATTGATTCATTTCCCTTTAGTCCTTCGTATTGAATGACTGGCCAGATTCATGTCTATCGAAAAAGTTATCCGGTATCATTGTGATTGGTCAATTCGACCAATCATCAATAACTAGAGAGCAATTAATGCTAATGATTCAGTCGTTTAGTCCAACAAATGATTGCAATGATAATAATAGTAATAATAATGATGATAATAAAGAGGCAGTTGATCGTCTGTTAGTTAGTTTTAGCTATAACTATATCATTGCATGAATCTGTTGATTCACTTCAAGGTTTACAGAATACATTGCATGATGATGATGATGATGATGATGATGGTATCTGTTTACTACGACTAACCAATCAATCATATTTCATCTTCAGGATATAATTTTTTACCAAATCCTTATTGGTCAGTGAGTGAATTTACAGCATTCTCTTCAATGGTTTGAAGATTGTTGTAGTGTAGTAAAACATTGGACTCTCCAATTATCTTATCGTTGGATGCCTGTTTATTGCACTGAAAAGCGAGCTCACCAGTGCTGCATTGGTTAAAATAAAACTTATTGGTCGATACAACCTATTTATTGCTACTCACATCATTCAGTAGCATATTTTATTGTTTTATGACATTTGTATTTGAGGTTATAACCTATGAATGAAGCCAGCTGAATAATCTGCAAGTAAAGACGTGACAAATTACTCAATGTTGTGACGAATATGAATTTTGAAATTATTCGCAAAATGTTCGATTACATGCAAATAATTTTAGTCTAGTCCTTTATTGGCTTCAGGTGTGATTGCCACATGGAAAGGGTAATATCTGAATTGAAACTGAGTGATACCGGGTTTCCGTCCCGGTGGTTGGTGGTTGGTGCTTCCAATCCGGACGCCGTCCAAATCTTCATTTCACCTTCAATCATCACCCAGTATCAACCACGACTATCTCAGATAGTCGAAGTGATATTATTTGAATAGCGATAGATATTGTCGACTTTAGAACAAGCCAGCGTTAGTTACATGCTTGCTTATTGAGTAGAACTCAACACAGTGCGAACATGATACTTCGGTAGACGAGAGAATAACATTAACTGAAACACTGGTGAAAAATAACTGTCCATCAAATTTTATTAGGCAGCACAAAATAACCAGAGCACCAAAACTACCTCTTCACTTTATCTTAAAGAAAGTTATCTTCATCAGTCTTCCTTACAAAGGTGACTCTCATAGAGCAATCCTTAAACAGAAATTTAACGCTACTCTTAGAAGGACTTACTATGCAGTTACTATGCAGTTACGGTTCGATTAATGGAAACCAACAAGCCCGTATTTTCTTTCTCTCGAACCCCTTCAACCTGTGAACGACGATGTCACATCCCATTGTATTTACCAATTCAAATGTAAGTGTGGTGACACATACATAGGGAGGATTCATATATCCATGCAAGTGAGGGTCTACGAGCATACTCTTAAATGGCTTCACAAGCGAACTGAATCACCTGAAGCTATAAATGTTTGTAGCAGACGTCTAAATTTTTCCATCACGAAACATATCGTTAAGGTAGGTCACAGGATTCACGTGGTTACTTCCTATAGACTTATTTACAAAATATGTTGAAGGACGAATCCACAAATTGGTTAAGGCCTTAGCTATTAGGGAAGGAAGCTTAAACCACCTTTGTGTGTTCAAAAACAATTTGTGAAATTGATTCAACAAACAAACAAACAAACAAACAAATAACCTCTCGACAACAGTGAATTGACACAGTGAATAAGATTGAATCAAATTGTATAATAATTTAGGCAATTGTAGTTCACTTACTTAATTCTTTAAAGTATTCAGTTATTAACTCATTCATCAATCTATCAGCTGGTTCAATTCGATCTATCCACTTGGCAATAATACTCGAGAATTCAGTCACCTTTATATATATATATTCAATATTATGCACATGAGTATTATTACTGACTGTTACTATTGGAAAATAAACTTGATAGATTATTTAAACAATTCGTAAGAATTAGTAGAAGGAATAAATTGAAATTGGGTGGCAAATAGGCAGAAGGTAATGTTTGTTGAATAGAATTGAATAATGATGACGGTGATGGTGATGGTGACGCTGACAATCTCTTCAATGAAGACGCAGAGATAAACATTGTTTTCTTTGTATAATGTAAACTCCTCTTGTTCAATTTTATGTATAGACATTTGAATCGAATCATGAGTAGTTGATAAATTTCAATGTAATTGTTTTGAAATGAATAATTATCCAATTTTGAGTGAATAAATTCCATGATGAAAGATGATTACTAGAATTTTCTGTTTCTTCAAAATCAATACATATTAATTAAATGAAGAATATGTTTTGACAAGAAAAGAATATCATGCAATGTATTGGTCAAATCTTTATTCACCGGAGTAGTTAACTGATCTATCTATCTAACAGATGAGATAAACTGAAGTGGTATGCATCAATTAAAGATTTCAATGACTGAAGAAAGAGAAAAGTAGAAGAAAAAAAGTATATAATTATAACTGTAGAATGAATCCTGAAATACTTCGACTTTTGATTCTATCAGTCAGTAGTCAACAACGTAAACTATTTAATGTAATCGATATGAAACCTTAACGAGTGTAAAAAGCAACGACTAACAAACAAGGTAAATGTAATATAAGTGAAAAACTTGGGCACTGTGGTAGAATGTAGTTCCATATTAGATTTGTTTATTTGATATAAAGCGCACAGTGATACAGTATTATTTAATTGATTACGTTTCGAGCATAAGTTATTACTGCTCATAATCATCACATCAATGTAATCACACACAAGTTTCGATATCTGATTTTATAGTCCTGTCACCTGATCTCTCTTTGTTTTTTGATTGGTAGTAAAGTTTTCCATATCTCTGGTATAGGTGTTGCGTCATTCCTATTCCACATGTGTTGGGTGTGGGTGTGGATTCGATGAAGAAAGATTCAGTAATTAATCTCTCTCTCTTCCACCTAGCTATATTAGACTTAAGTACAGTGGTTTTGTCCCATCCACCCTATTGTGTGGTTGTGTGTTAATGAATGAATGTAATGCAATGGCCGAGTGTTTTTCTATGTTATTGATCTTAAGAAGGGTCACCACTCCAAAATAACACACTTTCACTTGCTCTCCGGATTTCCGGTGCAAACAAATCCATATCTTAGATTTTTATCACATTTGTATGTGACCAACTCCAAATGAATTCCTCTTGGTCTCCGTGATCATACAAAACTAATCTTCCTCCTCTTCTACGCATCTACCATGACTGAAAGTAACCTTGTAAATATGAAAAATGTTTAAATAGTAAATTGAAAAGAAAATATTTACATTCTCAGATATATGAGTTCGCTAATTCGATCTACTATGTCACCAATGGTTTTGTACATACGTGAGTCTAGCCATCTTCTGCCTGCAACGACCATGTCTCACAGCCGTTTAACAGGACTGAACGGACTGCAGTGTAGTATACTGGTTCTTTGGTAGAAAGCCAGATATCTGACCAATGCCACAGGTGACGCAAGTTGGTGAATGTGAAATGGACCTCTATCTGAGCTGAGATTTCGTCAACAACCAGCCCGTTCAGAATGATGCAACTCCGCAAGTAAATGAAGTGATCGACACATTCCACATTCCACTTCACTCCCTGTCATGAAGCTGTAAGTAGTTGCAGACCAGTCGTGGAGAATCGTTTCACATTTGACAGATGCCATTGAGACGCATACTGAACATACTCAAGATGTTCAGAAGTTTTCACCCTGCCGGATAATATCGTCTGCATACTCCTAGTCAACTAGATACCTTCCAGTGAGTAGATCAGTCCCTGTGAATGTTATGTCCATTAGCACGTCTATGATGACGGTAAATAGGAACGGTGCCAGTAGAAATCTTCGGCGGACACCATTAGTTGTCACTTCTGTTGAAAACTCTCCATATGCCCTCAAACGACTGGGTTAGTTCTAGTAAAGAGCTTTGGTCAGTGTTCTAGACTTTCTTGGTACTCCCTTCGCAGTCCGACACCGCTATAACACCTCACGGCTGCCAACAAGTACAAACATAGTCCTTAATAGGCTTTCTGTTCAATGACTTTTGCCATTCAGCAATGGTTGAACTTGAAGTGAAACCCTAACTATGGTAGAATTTTAAAGCAAACATATCTAAGTTAGCAACCCGGTTCTTTGCTAATTGAGTTAGGATGAACAAACTATGCTATCCGCTGCTCATATTGGTGAGATTCCTTGAAGTGAGATGTTCTGAAGTTCCAATGAGTAGTCGTGACCGGTGGGGCAAACCACGTTGGATGTGGGGACGTATGCTCAACGATAGCATTGAATGAAGGTCTCACTATACCGGAATTGACAGAACTAGGAAGGTGCGAACCCCTGGATTCTAACCTAGTAGCTTATTGGCAATGTGCTCGCTACGAAATGTTACAGTCCTGTGTTCGACCCCCGACAAGGTCGTGGGTTCACACTACTGAGGAGTCCCATACTACTGGGACGAAACAACTGCCCAGTTACTTCAGATTTTTAAGATTTCTCCAATGATGTCATTTTGTAGTGTGTACCCCATCTCCATAAACCTCCTAACTGAATAAATGAACTGCCATTACTGAACTTTGTGTCTTATTGTATGTGGGTTCTTCATCATACTAATTACCTTTATTCGGAATTTAGTTGAATTACATTGAGATGGGACATTAAGGATGTAATGGTTGGCTGCTAACTAGATAACTCCGTTTGATAGAAGGATCTATAAATTTACAACTATGTTGATTGAAATGAAATTTAGACGTGAACAGATTATATCTAACCTCAATACCATTCATGCATGAGTGTAGTTTGATTCGATGTTTAACATGCCTTTCTTCTCTATCCTAGATTTTCAACAAAATCAAACAAGCAAATCAGTTGTGCAAACAGATTGCTGAAATTATAACGAATGAAATATTAGATTTAGAATTGTATAATCTTGTCTATCGTGAACTAACCTTAGAGTTCATTTACGTAAGTTTTTTATCTTTTATATTTGAGTGAATGCAATTGAATTCAAAAACTATGTGAAGCTTTTAGCATTAAACAATAAGCTACACTTATTGTCTTAGGCTTTTGATGATACCAGATGGTTACTCAAACCTTGATAGGTGGTAGGCGGAGACGGGGTTCAAACTTGTGACCGATTAGTTTAGGGTTAACTATCTAAGAAGTGGCTATCGTCCCTCCGTGATATAGTGGGTAACGCCTTAGCGTTTGAAGCGATGGGTGCGAGGTTCGAGTCTCAATGGGAACAACACTCACTGGGGTGCATGTACATCCATCTGACAAGTCTTGAATAGAACGAAACACGCGTCTTGGATTCCTGTGTTAGCCACAGTCAACTAAATTATCAAGTTATCTCTTCAATTTATGTATCATCATGGTTTTTGACTTTTGAGCTATTTCGATTACAGTTTTATTGAATACGACATACATTGCGACTGATGTGTTTACTGAAAGCTAGCTGATGCTTCTCTCTATTTCTGTAATTTGATGTGCATTGAATTAAAGTCAACTTTTGGAAATTAATCGGATGCGTAGACGACTCGTTTACTCCTCTGTTGTTGGACATTTAAGCTTCGTAGGTTAAAAATCCACCTGGTCACTCGATTGTTGGATTCATTAGTCTTTGACTAAGTCTAGAACATCATGGTTCATTCAACTAAGATCTTGACGGTTAGTTACCACTCTATCATTATAATAAGCATTACGAACAGCCTTTTTATCTCACTTAGAAATCTTTCGTTTGTTTGACAGACATTTAGATAATTTACATTATTTAGTGAATTGTTACACGTGAGAAGAGATGTCCCGTTTACTGTACTTTATCATTTAAAGATATTCCTCACCAAAGGTTAGTCAGAGGAAGGAAACAAAAACATTGAGCAGCAAACTATTCTTTCATTTCAAATTACTATTCTTCAACAAGACACTCTCTTGATTCCTAGGCGGTGCAGAGTGCCATTGGACTCCGTGGTGAACATGATAGTAGAGATTTTAGTGTCTGATGACATTAACTAGCTTCATAATGAACTCATCCTTTTAGTTATTTTCTTTGAGGCTGAATGGAGTTAAATAGGATCCCTTGAAAACAGTTGACTGTAGAGTAACTGCCTAAACAATGGACAACACAGATTGACAACTGACTTAAATGTGCAGAAATTTCTCTTCCTTTAAATGCCACTGTAAACAGTGTATGTGGATGCTGAGAGTACTATTTTTCCAGCTTTACTTTCTGTATTAATAATGGATAATGGCCTAGCAGTGGAATCTAGGACACGCGTTTCTTCCTACTTGGGATTCATCAGCTGGATATATCTTAGCTTCTGAGTGAGCGATGTCGTTCCTATTTTACCTTCTGTCGATATTCACTTTTTTTCATGGTAATCTCTTTGCAATGTGTACATTTTTCGTATAGAATGGTTGTAACTCCATCGGCAATTTGACTTATCATTTATGAAGCTGTGACTTTTTAATTCAGACACTCAGATTCCAATCTCAGTAGGTTTCAGATTCAAATTCTGCTTAACCTTTTGAGCTTTCTGTGGTGTGTTGTATCACTAACTCGTAGTCAATAGATAGTCATAACTCGAATGGTCCCTTATCCTCTGAATTGCATATAGATATGCCAGTGAATATTTTTATTAAAATTCATCAGCTTATTGTTACCTTTCTTTTCTTTTCTCTCCGACAGAAGGAATTCATTGACCAATTAATTGATGAACAGTTGCATCGTTTGGCAACGTCTTCTTTAACCAAATCAATGGCTATGTCATTATATGACTATTCGTTAATTAAGCGTTGTTTTAATCGCTTCCACTATGTTATATGGAAACGTGAAGAGGTTATACAACATCAGATTCTATTGAATACAATGCCAACACCTGTCGGTGCTGATTGTCTACCATTACGTTTGATGACTGTAAACAATCAGATTAAGAGTAATATGGAGCAGTTTAAATTGTCTTGTAACTTATCATCAGGTATAGATAAACATTCCTCACATGTTGAAAACAAATCTCCACTATTGGTTAATTCAATGACATCAAGGTTTCTGCCAGAAATTTCTAAAGTTAGTTCTGTTTCATAGTAAATTCTCATTTCATATCTTTGTAAGTTTTAAACTGAGAGAGTCAATAGATGGAATGATCAGAAAAAATTAATGTTTAACCTTGAATATAGAAGTACATCAGTTGAAGTTGCCACAATTCACAGTATCATGACAAGAACAAGTGGATAAAAAGAGATTGATATGAAAGTAGACAAAAGTAATATGGGAGGAGAGAGAATTTAAAAATTAAGGTTAGTTAAAGCATTCAAGCTTTCGAAGACATCAAAGAATGAGTACATCTACCCGATTGTGACCGATTTCTATCGACTTGAGAATTGTAAGCAGATAGATATTGATTCTAAGCCATATCGCCTACAGTTTCCAACCAGCTATTTCTGTTGTTATGCAAACTTTAACCGGTAAGTTTACCTATCTTTGCAAGACTCAGACCAGTTATCAAAGACTTCATGAACTGATGCCATATTGTAGTCTTACCGCTTTTATCCTTTTTCCTACGAATGTCACGATATTCCTAGAGGTACTTTAGATCTATGGCTACCTTCCTAGTTTTGGGTATGCGAAGCTTTATATCGCTTGCCACACCACTAACAATACCAAGATATACTGAAGAAAAGAGCGGAGGGTGAATCAGAGAACGATCGTTTATTACTGATAAATTATTATAGCTTTTGGTTGAAATATCGATCTGTACAATATGTTGAAGTCCATCATCTCATTATTCCATATCGTCTTGCTATTGATGCGACCACGTCATCTTCTGTGCTTCACGGGGCATAATAATTATCTATGGCTCGTTATTCCCTATGACTTCCTATCTATCAACATGTACTACTTATATACACTCTTATCAGTAGCATCCAATACCGTACTACTTTAAGTAACATTTAAAGAAAACAGTCGATTGTAGATAACACGAAAAACAGTTTTAGTGCTCAGAAGCTTATCAGTCGTTTATCTGAGATACGCTGAATATCACTGAACTATTTGGTAAATATTGTGGATGTAACCAATTCGTTTACGACCCAATCGAAAGCTGGGGAGTCAATTACTCGCATACTTTTATAGTCTGCAAAGGAAAATGAAAGTTGATACTTAGAAAATACTGGTTCCAGTGCGAAAAGTTCTATGATGTGCTTTTCTAAGAGTTATCTTCTTTAACGTGGTAGGTACTGATCGACAATGAAATATAAATCTGTGATCAGTCTTAACATAGGAATAGGAATAAAACATGGCCACTGTGGTCCATTGTAATACCATTCTAGTCTGTTGATTAGAAATGTCACACAGTGAAGGAACAGTATCATTTACTGGATAACAACGTTTCGGACACAATTTATTGTCCATATTGATATCAGGTAACTCTACAACTTTGAGACACAGTTTATATTATTCCTAATTTTCTCTCCTCCGTGATGATATGGCTAGTGAGGTTTTTCATATATCTGCGACAGGTACAGAATCATTTCGATTGCTGCGTGTACTTGGTGTTGATTCGACGAACAATGATTCGGTTATCAATCTCTTCCTCCACCTAACTAAGTTAGTTCTTTAACACACTGTTGCTCTATCCCACCCTACTGTGTGATTGTGTGTAATTGCATACAGAGCTATAGCCGAGCGTTTCTCTAAATTTCTTTTCTTCTTCTTATTTATCCCTTGGGTTCCTAGTGGAACATAGGGCTTCCATAACACGTCACCATTTCACTCCCTTCTCTCCAGTCTTTTCAACCTCGCTCAAAAACTACCCACAAGCTCTCATTTCTTCCTCACACCATCTCCTACATATCAACCTCAGGTGGGACGACCAACTCGTCGTTTCCCATTCTCGTTCCACTCGACGGACTGGCCATGCCTGGTCGTGTGGTGTCCCCAATTGGTCTTCTCACTCTATACCCAATACAATACAATCCAATTCAATCCAGTCTAAACCAATCCAGTCCATCTCCACACTCTTCTGCATAGTTGTTGGGTGATGGGTTGTTGGTTGATTCGTTGGTTCGTCGCCAGCCACACTGAGTTCCTTGTTGCTTATTCTTATTATTCTGGCAATCCATGTGATCTCCATCTTCAGTATCGAATCAGTCAGTGAGTGAGTGGGTGAGTGAGTGAGCGTAGGTGGCAGCTGTTGATGAATGATATGTACAGTTTGTTGGAAATGTTTTTGGTGACGCGCCAAGTCTGTCGACCATCACATCGAAGCACTGACTTACTTGACTGACTCAGTGTTGAAAATCCGGATGTTGTTGTTCACGCTGTATGCTGAGTGGAGTGGAGTGCAGTGCAGTGGAGTGGAGTGGAGTGGATCTCCACACTGGTTTCAGGTTAATGCAGGAAGGCCTGTCTTGCTGTCTTTCACATCCTGTCTGTCTTTCACGTCGTCATCTGTGCCTGTGCTGCCTGCTGTAGTTGAAACGATGCTGTCTGCCCAGGTAGGTGAAGGAGACTACTTCCTTCAGATTTCTCCCGTTGATGGTGATTGGTGCTTGTCGTTGTTGTAGTTGGTTGGTTGATTGGTTGGTTGGGTAACTTGATCACCTCTGTCTTTTCCACATTCACTTGAAGTCAAATCCTCGCTGCCCTGCCCTGTCCTGCCTCTTCTTCACATCTTCCACAACACATTAGACATAAATCATCATCATCGGTGGTGAAATCCAAATCTTCTAGAGTCTTTTCATCCATCCAACCAGCGTATCCCCATCTTCTCACAGCTCCTCACGGTTCGCTGCATCATCCAGTTGATCACAATGAGGAAGATGATCGGTGATAGTAAGCGGCAGCCTCACTCCACTCCTTGCTGTCTTCACGTTAGTTCGAAGGCGTCACTGAGTTTTGCATTGTGAATCACTTGGCATGCACCATCTTCATATAGCACATAGCTGTTGTTGAATAAGGATGATCAAGGTCAATGTTTTTGGCACTAAAATTGTAGTGTTGAAGCAGCTGTCTGCCAGATTACTTCTCAGTCGACGCTATCGAAGGCCTTTCCAAAGTGGATAAAGTTGAGGTGGGGAGAGAGAGAGAGAGTTGCCATTCTATCATTCTACGCTCTGTTCTATGATGATGCGTAGCGCAGTGTTGTAATTTGATCCTCACATGATTCGTACTTCCTGAATCCAGCCTGCTACAGTTGTAATTTTGAATCGAGAGGATGTTTGAGTGTCTCGAGGATGATGTAGGTTAATATTTTGCATAGGGTGGACAAGGGTGGAGCATGATTGCATGCCAGTTCTTGCAAAGACTTAGGTTCCCCTTCTTTCGGAGTTTGACAAGGTAGCCCTTCTCCTAATACATAGGAAGGTACCTTTCCCTACTTATTGCCTTTCTTCCTTCTTGCACGCTTCCAAAAGAGAAGGAGGAATTCTTTAGACAACTGCAATCAATAATGGAAAAGACCCCAACACAAATGCCAACATCAAATTCATTCTAATCGGTGGAGTGACTGACATGAATGACAAACTCGCAGCCGACAACACACGAACACAACTCATCCATCATAGGTCGAGAAGCACTCTTGTGAAATGATGGATGAGAATGGAGAACTCTTTGCAGGCAGACTTCTACGCATTCAACAATTTGGTGATTCGAGGCGAGGCAGTGTCTACAAACACAAGCATATTCACAAAGCGAGCGAGCAACATGCATTTCATTTCAACAGACGAACACATCACACTAAATATCACATCGACTTCATCTCAATATGAAGAAAGTGGAGACGCAGCCCAATAGATCAGATAAAGAAGGGAGCAGATGGAGGTAGGTTCACACACACCACTCACTATCTAGTGGAATGAACCTGCCTCCAAAATCAAGTTGGAAGCCTCCAATTCAAACAACCTCATGATAAACGAACACAGTTCAGGCTCAGCACCCACTGAAAACACAAACTAAACTGAACTGAACGACGAAACTACAAACGACATATTCACGTGAATCAGCCATCAAGACAAAATGGGAGACATTGAGCAACATCCGTGAAGAAACCTGTGTGAAACACTGTGAAACACTGGAACTCTTTGAAAGCTATGTAGAAGGCGACCTGCATAACCGTATTGGGAGAGAAGAGGAAAGAAGATAAGGAATGGATCTTCACAGATCTCTATATCGAAGGTGATAGAGGAGAGAGAGGAAGATGGTGAAGCAGAAGATGAACCAGTGCAGTGCAGTGCAGTACAGTGCAGGCATGAACAAGGAAAAGAGGAAGTGAACACAACCTATACAACACAACACTACACTGGACAAAGAAGTGAAGAAGAGTGCACACAAACACAAAAGACACTCACTTCTATGACACACTGGCAAGTGAAGCAGAACACACAGGCTGCAGGTAAGAGAGACAGAGTGATACAGTATTATTTAACTGATTACGTTTCGAGCATAAATTATTGCTCATAATCATCACATCAATGTAATCACACACAAGTTTCGATATCTGATTTTATAGTCCTGTCACCTGATCTCTCTTTGTTTTTTTTTTTTGACTGGTAGTAAAGTTTTCCATATCTCTGGTATAGGTGTTGCGTCATTCCTATTCCACATGTGTTGGGTGTGGATTCGATGAAGAAAGATTCAGTAATTAATCTCTCTCTCTCCACCTAGCTATATTAGACTTAAGTACAGTGGTTTTGTCCCACCCATCCTATTGTGTGGTTGTGTGTTAATGAATGAATGTAATGCAATGGCCGAGTGTTTTTCTACGTTATTGATCTTATTGGGGTCTGCCGTTCTATGTTTAGCTAAATTCCTATGTTCTGTTAATCTAACTGACCCCGACCGGCTAGTTTGACTGACCTATGTATTTGACTTCACAGTCATTACATGGAATTTGGTAGATTATATTATTTTGCTTAATTGGTTCTATCGGATCTTTTAGCCGACAGAGCTTACCTCTGAGTGAGTTTGTTGGTTTAAATGCCACCCTAATTCCAACCTTGTTGAGAATCCTACGTATGCTTTCTGATGTTCCTTCCTTGTATGGTATCACAATAGAGGTGTTGATTTCCTTTCTACTTATGTTGTCACTATTATTTGTATTTGTATTAGTGTTATTATTTTGCTTGTTATGTGTCCGTGTGAATTTCTTAATAAAATGATGGGGATAATTATTAACGCTTCTTTTATGTGTTTCAATCCCTTATTTAAGTCCTTACAATGACTAGTGAGTTTCTCAGCTCTATTATTTAGACATTTGACTAAACCCGCTTTAACTGACACTGGATGAGATGACTTGAAGTCTAGATATCTGTTAGAATGTGTTGGTTTTCTGTAGACGGTAGTATCTAAACCACCAGCTATCCTTCGATTATTCTGCAATCCAACATAGGTAATTCTCATTGTTCATTTTCTACTTCGTAAGTGAATTGGATTGCGTTAACTACTGAGTTTATGTGTGTCAAGAAACTGTCGATATGTTCCGATTTCAACACTGTAAATGTGTCATCTACATATCGCCACCATATCTTAGGTGTCGGATTATATGTTCGTAAAGCCATATCTTCCCAACTATCCATAAATATTTCTGCTACTATAGGGGATATTGGTGATCCCATTGCTACTCCTTCTGTTTGTCTATAAATCTTTTCCTGAAACTTGAAGACTGTCGAGGTTAAGCATAACTGCACTCCTAACATGATTTCATCAACCGATGCCTTGGTTCTCTGAGTAAGTTGTGAGTCAGTATCTAGTTGATTTCTGACTGCCTCCAGTGCCATATTGATTGGTATTTTAGTATAAAGACTTGTTACGTCAAAACTAACCATTTTTTCATCCTCTTCTATGTGCACATAGAAAATGTCTCCCATTTTGTCCTGATGGCTGATTGACGTGAATATGTCGTTTGTAGTTTCGTCGTTCAGTTCAGTTTAGTTTGTGTTTTCAGTGGGTGTTGAACGTGAACTGTGTTCGTTTATCATGAGGTTGTTTGAATTGGAGGCTTCCAACTTGATTTTGGAGGCAGGTTCATTCCACTAGATAGTGAGTGGTGTGTGTGAACCTACCTCCATCTGCTCCCCTTCTTCATCTGATCTATTGGGCTGCGTCTCCACTTTCTTCATATTGAGATGAAGTCGATGTGATATTTAGTGTGATGTGTTCGTCTGTTGAAATGAAATGCATGTTGCTCGCTCGCTCGCTTTGTGAATATGCTTGTGTTTGTAGACACTGCCTCGCCTCGAATCACCAAATTGTTGAATGCGTAGAAGTCTGGAAAGAGTTCTCCATTGTCATCCATCATTTTAGCGAGTGCTTCTCGACCTATGATGGATGAGTTGTGTTCGTGTGTTGTCGGCTGCGAGTTTGTCATTCATGTCAGTCACTCCACCGATTAGAATGAATTTGATGTTGCCATTTGTGTTGGGGTCTTTTCCATTATTGATTGCAGTTGTCTATAGAATTCCTCCTTCTCCTTTTCATCTTATTAGGATCTACTTATCTTGGTTTAACTAAGTTTCTGTGCTCTGTTATTCGAATCGGCTCTGGTCGACTTATTTGACTCACGTAATTATTGGAACGCAAGATATTCTTGATGTGTCTTATTTCTTGTCTTAGGTTTTCTGTCTAACGGTCTGTCTGTATCAGTTATTACCCACCAGCATTTATCAATAAATTCATAAGAAATCGAAAGAAAAATATTAGCAGTGGTAGTAGTAATACAGGTGTTATTAATAATAATTCTACTTGTAATGGTAATAATAGTGACAGGGTTGATAGAGAATTCAAACAAAGTCTCGGCTGTGTTACTATACAAGCGATACCGGTTTTTAGAGATCCGCGTGGTCAGTAGTTGATTGCAATATAGCCTGTTCGAGTTGATGTTACCGTATTGAGAGTGAGATATTAGGAAGGAGGTATGTATATTGATGGTGGATGTAGTAGAAGCTTTTCAGTAATTAAATAGGTTGTAATCTCTGTGAAACTGTGACAATATCCCCTTGAATCTGACCTGTAGTCAACTAGTAAGCATTTGTAGTCAGTTACCCATGGCACTCCTATGGGACTAGACATCCAATCTGTAAACTGAACTCTCCAAATCACTTAACTGATATGAGGTCATTTATTATTATTATTATTATTATTATATATAGTTGATAGTAAAATGCATTCTTGTTTGCATACATACTGAATGAAATGTATAGAGGAAGGGCTGATGAATGGAAATAGTCTTTGTTGGCAGTTATGTCTTGAGATGTTCAACACGAGTCGTAGAGAAGCAGTTAATATGGATAATAAGAGTAGTGTTAAAGTGATGCTTGGCACTGGTGGTGATGGAAAACTGTGGAAAGGCAACTATTTGGCAATTGAATCGGATTTAATCAGATAGGCTAACCAAGCAACACTTTTGACTGTGAAACTGTTGAGTGAGGTGAAGGTAGGTGACAATGCAAGCGCACATAGACTGTGAAAATGAAAGAAAGACGGTTTGTTAGATGACACGTGTAATAAAAGCGTTCCATTTTACATCTTTTCGCTTTCGTTCTCGTCACATCCAGGTGGTGGTAAAATTGAAGCAAGTGGTTACTTTTATTGAATCGTCAGCCGAACCATTGATCCATTCAGCAGCAACCGATCAACTTAAGGAGTTATTTGGCTTCGTGATTTTTAAAGCATCTTCAAGCAAGTGAAGGCGATGAATAAGGAGCTTTCGCGTAGCAAATTGATAGAAAGCGGCGTAAATGGGAGTGAATATTTTAAGTGATCAGCCGGTAAGGTAGAAGTTTCAGATTTCCCCCTTGGTTTAATGTTACTGTGTGGAGAAGAAAAAACACCTTATTGGGCAATTTCGTTCTACAGCTGACCAGTCAAAATAAATATCCTTAATATAGATGTAAAACATGGGCACTGTGGTAGAAATTAATTGCATATTAGATTTGTTTTGGATTTGATTTATAACACACAGTGAGTGATCTAGTATTATTTACTTGATGATGTTTCCAGCATAAATTATCATTGCTCATAATCATATCAATGTAATCCCACAACACTTTCGACATTCGATTTTTATAGTTACGTCACTTTATGTGAGTTGTTTTTTTTATTGGTAGCAAAATTCTCCATATCTCTGGTCTATACCAGGTGATGCGTCATGCCTATTACATGTGTTCAGTGTTGATTCGATGAAGAAAGATTCAGTAATCAATCTCTCTCTCTCAATGTCCACCTAATTATATTGGACTTAAGTACAGTGACTTTATCCCACCCACCCTATTGTGTGGTTGTGTGTTAATGCAGGTATAGCAATAGCAGAGTATTTTTTCTGGATTATTGATCTTATTTAAGTATGTTATTCTATATTTAGCTGAATTCCTATGTTCGGCTATTCTAACTGACCCCGACCGACCGACCGACCGACTAGTTTGACCCATATACTTGACCTGATTCACAGTCATTACATGCTACTTGATAGATTATACTATTTTGCCTAATTGCTTCTATCGGATTCTAAGTCGACAAAGTTTATCTCTGAGTGATTTTCACTTAGAACTTACTCACAGAACTAAGATGTCCGTTGATGAGATTATATTAGGCATGCAGTTATGCCTGACCTCCACAGTCTTGAAGCTTCATGTGCATGAAGAAATTGTCGATATGTTCCGACTCAGTAGTAAACGCAATCCAATTCACTTACGAGGTAGAGAAAATGAACAGGGAGGGGAATTACCTATGTTGAATTGCAGAATAAAAGGAAGAAGAGACGGTGGTTTGGATACTACTGTCTACAGAAAACCAATAGATTCCAGCAGGTATCTAGACTTGAAATGATCCCATTCAATGTCAGTCATTGAAGGCAGAATTAGTCAAATGTCTAAATGATAGAGCTAGAAAACTGACTAGTCAGTCAGAGGAAGAACCTAAACAAGGAATTGAAGCACTTAGAAAGAAGTAGCGCTAATAGTTAATAATTATCCTCCGTAGTTTATTAAGAAATTCTTACGGACACACAAAAAACAAATAACACTCACATGAGTGCGACTTAACACATGTAATAGGCATGACGCATCACCTGGTATAGACCAGAGATATGGAGAATTTTGCTACCAATAAAAAAAACAACTCACATAAAGTGACGTAACTATAAAAATCGAATGTCGAAAGTGTTGTGGGATTACATTGATATGATTATGAGCAATGATAATTTATGCTGGAAACATCATCAAGTAAATAATACTAGATCACTCACTGTGTGTTATAAATCAAATCCAAAACAAATCGAATATGGAAAATAAATATGCAACCTTTGACCTAGTGGTTTTATGTGTTGATGAAAACTATATACCAATGATGTATTTTTGTCAAATAAAGAGTCTTCTTTAGAGTTACAGTCCGGTCTTTGTCTTCTTATTTTCGCGTGTAAGGAGAGTGTAAGATTGGAAGGGAGAACAGTCGCTACTCGTATCCACTCGAAGCGTCTCATTGTGTCGGTAGCGTTCTCGTGTTTCTTATTATCCTATCAATCTTTTTCATTCAGTTGCTTTACAAAAGTTATTAATAATCTTTGGTAATATCCGTGAAATTTGCTGCTCCGTCTATCGGAGGTTTAGGTAACCAGGCGGTTGCCGATGGCACGAACGTGCACATGAGTTGCTTTGGTTGTCGCGGATGTTTACAATGGGGGATATTTTTAGGTATTGTAAAACTGCTTCTGGTTGTTTTCGAGTTGTTTTCTTCTAAAATGATGAATATTCGCATCCTTTTTCAAATATGACTGTCATTATTATTGTTTTGTTTTTCAGTTGGATGGTGAACTCACTTGGAGTGTTCTAAGACCATCTTCATTATTGATTAAATAAATATCCACTAGGCATATACTCATCAATTTTAATTGCTACGCATGGTTGTTCTTCAACTGTACAACAGCATGTTACAAGTGTAGCTTATTGGATTCACAGGAGATTGATTCATTTCCCTTTAGTCCTTCGTATTGAATGACTGGCCAGATTCATGTCTATCGAAAAAGTGATCCGGTATCATTGTGATTGGTCAATTCGACCAATCATCAATAACTAGAGAGCAATTAATGCTAATGATTCAGTCGTTTAGTCCAACAAATGATTGCAATGATAATAATAGTAATAATAATGAGGATAATAAAGAGGCAGTTGATCGTCTGTTAGTTGGTTTTAGCTATAACTATATCATTGCATGAATCTGTTGATTCACTTCAAGGTTTACAGAATACATTGCATGATGATGATGATGATGATGGTATCTGTTTACTACGACTAACCAATCATATTTCATCTTCAGGATATAATTTTTTACCAAATCCTTATTGGTCAGTGAGTGAATTTACAGCATTCTCTTCAATGGTTTGAAGATTGTTGTAGTGGAGTAAAACATTGGACTCTGCAATTATTGTTGGCAGCAAAAATCATCGAAACTTTCAAAGTAATCATATTATTAGTGATGAGAAGAAGTATTCGACTGCAGCCTCATTATCATCCCTTGTGTGTGTGTCATCATCTTTCGCATTGACTACTGAGGCTGTCTTCTATACAGAGTTGGATGATCTCATCCACCAGTATAGTATATTGATGAGAGTTTCCTGCGTCCATTAGCTGATTTATCTAAAAGTTGGAAACTGCATGATTTAGTTGATCCGGTAAGTTGAATGAATGAATGAATGAATGAATATTTAGAGTAAAATGATTGTTTTTCTCACTATTTTGTTTCAATGGTATCATGATTAAACTTAGATGAAGGGTGAAGTCATGTCTATGAACCAGGCACGTATATATATATATATATATATATATATATATATATATGTATATATATATATATATATAGTAGGAGAGTTTTAATCCGCCATGCATTGTGTTGAAATCCAGTGCTTAGGCCAATGAACACCACTTATTCTGACTATGTGCAGATAGTGCAGTAAGTATTTATATTTACAGGTGGTCCTGATATCTTGATGGTATTCTAGGGTGTATGATTTTCATTAGTTTCTGTCAACTAATCCAATCATATAGATATCTACACATTGAGTCATGTTATTTTCTGCAGTCATTTGATTGGTTGTCGATATTTCCAGTGGTTTTTAGCTTCTTCGTGGATTTAGGAATGGGGTGGGGTGGGGTGGGGGGGGGGTCGGCGGGTAGCTTTAGAACCTGTTAACAATATGTCATGATTGACGTCAGTGTAACGAGCGCATTCACATCTAGCTACTGGTTATTTTTATCATAATTCTTCTCAACCCCCCTGTTTCTTTGTTTTATCGGGTCGTCCAGTCATTTTTACTGTGTCAGTGCCCTACGTTTTTCAGTCATTTATAATGACTGATTACGAGGTGAATGTGGGTTGAAATATTGCTGCATCAGGTGAAGTGGTAAACTGGGTGGTCAGTGAGTTTTCACTCAGTTTTGACAATAGAATTCTAAGAGTCAGGTTTTTTGTAAATGTTATTAGAAGCCTGACTGCTAGAAGTCTACAGTCAGAACTGAGTGAAAATTCACTGACCACCCATTTGGTGTATAGACCAACTATTCACACTGGGCCAGGTCTTGGAACACACACACTTACCGACGCCCGACACTAGCTGTATTTCTCGACCTGAAGGCGTAATTCGACTCCGTTGACCAAGAAGTCTTATGACAATGTCTCTCACTGAAAGGCGTAGCGAGTAAGTAAATCACCTTATTGAAGGCTGTCTACTCGGACACTTGTGTGCGTGTTAGAGCGTATGGTGAGATGTCCGGGTGGCTGTACTTGTCGAGTGGTATCCGTCAAGGGTGCCCACTCTCTCCATTCTTATTCAGTTTTATCATAGATATTCTTATGGAGGTCTCCCTCTCGTCACCTGACTACACAGAAATTGACCTGATCGTCACAGGAGAATTTTCGTTAGACCTAGAATACGCAGATGACATGGTCGTGTTAAATGAAGATGTGCGATGATGCAGACTAGCCGGCTGAGGTCTGCGAGACAAGAGAAACCAGTGTTTGGAGACTGACTGTAGGTGGCGATATGGCTCAGAATCGATGTCACTGGCGTATATGTATACCCACATTATCCTCATCTTAACGATGCTATGCCGAATCTCACCATTTTCTCATTCCTCCTTTCTCTCCTTGAGTACTTGATATATCTTTTGACTGAGTTTTCTTTTCTCCATTTTCCACTTCACTACTTTTTTACTTGATGTACTGATATGAGGTGTGGCAACTCGGAGCATTAAGTTGTAATAGGTTAACAGAAAGAAGACTTCAGGCGCTTTGACCAAGACGTGATATCACACCATGAAGCCTCTGATTGTTAGTCTGAGCCATGTAGGGAGGTGTAGACTACCTGTTTGGCGTCCCTGAAACCGTAGGAATAACCACTTTGAAACATATGCTAACATTACTAAAAATCGATGACAGTGGCATACATTTATTTATTCTCTGACGTCTTCTAAAGCTTGAACATTTTCACTACCTGTGATTTTTCAAATTCCTTCTCCTCCCTTACACTTTTGCTTATTCTGATATCTCAGTGTTTTTTGTACCAACTTATTATTGTTTTCGTGTTACTAAAATGTGTGACAACTTGAACCGATGCACTTTTATGCTGAGTTCTACGTTGATTTTGTCTCTCTGTCTATCTTATCTGTATAATCGAATTGATAGTCCTAAAAATCTATAAGGTCAACTGTAGAAGTAATCGGTTTCTGTTTCCATAAAATTTACACCTAATCGATAGAAAGAAAGGGGTGAATCAACACTTATTTCGAAGATATTAGACTACCCTTGACTACCCTTAAAAAGTCGAAGCATGAAAAGTATTATGGCTTTAAGTACCAAAATGTTGAAGGTTTCATAAATACCTTAACATGAAGATTGGGGGAAAATAAACTACGCTTCAAATGTCATGCAATAAACATTGATGTATGTATGACTCTGAACGTTTTCTATATGTGTAGGTGTGAAACACTAAAAGTTGAGAATATTAGAAAACTTCGGGTATTTGACCACAGTTGCCTTCATAGCAAGGTGTCGTGGTGTAACCACGTGAGGAATAATATTCTCTTGAGAAGACGACTGTAAGCAGGGAAGCAAAGGCTAACTGGAGGCAGGTTTAAACTGCCTGTTCCATTCACCTTTCTAGTGTTTCGTGCATATGGACTACAGATCTATGCTTCATCACCATAGTGTCATCAAGCATAAACGATTTACTTTGATTTTCCTTAATCAGTGCGAATAATTGTTGTTTACAGGTAACTATCACCAAGACCATTCTCATCGTTTTAGCCTTCATGGTCTGGTCATAGAACAAACTGTTGATTTCATTTTAATTGTGTCTGCCCTTCATTGTGATCAGGGCCTATTGGCATGCGTTCGCGTGCATCCATTGTTTTGGAATAAGATTGATTGAGATTGACTAACCCTTTCTAATGCTTTTCTCAGGGTTAGTTACCACCTTCATCTCCGTTTTTACAGCCAACTGGAGTTGAAGACAGGTTTCTTCAGAATGAGTGACTTTGTCTTGTTTCGATTAGCGTCTAACCTGTTGCTGAATAAAAGCATGCTTAGTACTCTCATCATCAAGCTGTTTTGGAACTGGGTTTTCTACATGCATTTAGGTGCAGGAACTGACCTGCTCTAACCAACACATGTTCACTGTGTAAACCAGTGCTGTAGAAGGGGTGACAATCAATCCTGTGCCAATTCTGTTCAGTGATAATTAATAGACAGACAATTCCTGCCTGCCTCTATGTCTGAAGTCCATGCTGATGCAAAATAGGTGATTGATTGTCTGAGTATATTTATAGCAGGCAATTACCGTTATGTGTTTTTCTTCTGTTGAGACTCTGAAATTGTCACCTGGGTGCCTTTCTGCTTGACTTATTAGTCTACTAACTTCGGCATTGAAATCATTTACTGCAACAACCACATCTGAATGTTTGTTGCTTTCAATAGGAGACTCAACAGTTTTGAGTAAAACTCATTTTTCGTCACATTCGAACTGTAGTCACAGTGTGTAAGTTGGAAATACAAGGAGACGGGAAGTTTCGCTGCTCTTTTAACTTCTCACTGCATCGTCGAGTGGAACAGAGAACAGGCAAGTGTTCTAGTCGTCAAGTAGTGCATTTTCAGCTGTAGGACTTAGTGCTTTACCTGCGAGACGACGAGAAGAAGCCGTCAAATGTGCAGATTGTAAAACGGTGACTTTTCACATTTGGCATGTTGGTTAAATTAAGTTAAATGGATATGGGTGTTACATAAAGAAAGCAGTCATTCATGACCCGATTTTGTAGAGTTTTGACTATTGAAGCTTGTCGTTCAATTCGACTGAGAGTGTAGACATTGAAAGCTATAGTATGTTGTTCACAGTGGTGTTCCAAGGTACCAGGGATTATATTCTATTCCTTCAACTCAAATCGTCATTGAAGGTTGAAAATTTGAAGAAAATTAGCTACGACTATATAATATGGATAGAGAAATAAATATAAAGGAAAGTCAGTAGACAAAGATATGAAAGATTGATGATGATTTGAGAGAGCTTGCGTGATAACATTGTTATGGGGTTTACTTCATGTTAAGTAACAAATGAAATCGGTGGCTCGAAATTCTATGAAATATGGCATAGATTCAGTTTCATTGGTTATATACTACTTGCATTCTCATCGTTCTATCGAATTTTCATCTTTGTCTTACTCTCTTGTCGCCTCTTACAATTTTTGATCATATTCCCCTTCTTCTAATTTTTCTATCTTACATTGTGTTGCCTTTTATTTTGGTATACGTTGTTCAAATATGGTAGGTAACTTGTTCCGATATGTTGTATTGTCTGGTTCAATTTATATATTCGACCGGCTGTTAGAAAAAGGCAATGATAAAATGTTTACATTTACATTTACCTTGTTTGTTTATTATTATTATTAGTCCCTTGGGTTCCTAGTGGAACATAGGGCTTCAGTAGCACGCCTCCAGTGACCTCTGTTCTCTGAGATCTTTTGAACCTGGTTCCACGACAGCCCAGAAGCTCTCATTTCCTCCTCGCATGACCTCCTCCATGTCACCCTCGGACGTCCAACTCGTCGCTTCCCATGGGGATTCCACTCGAGCAACTGGCCTGACGCGTGATGTCCTCAGTCGGCCTTCTCAGTGCATGGCCAATCCATCTCCACTTCTTCCTGCATATTTGTTGCGTGATAGGTTCTTGGTTGGTTCGTTCCCAGAGTTCCTTGTTGCTTATTTTTTCTGGCCATCTGATCTTCAGCAGCGAGCGTAAGCAGTTGTTGATGAATGTCTGTAGTTTATTGGAAATGCCTTTCGTGACGCGCCAAGTCTCTGAGCCATACAAGAGCACTGACTTGACGTTGGTGTTGAAAATCCGTATCTTGTTCCACATGCTGAGTGCAGAAGATCTCCACACTGGTTTCAGGCTAATGAACGCCTGTCTTGCTTTTCCGATTCTGACTTTGACGTCCTCGTCCGTCCCGCCTGTAGTTGAAACAGTGCTTCCTAGATAAGTGAAGGAGGTTACTTCCTTCAAGTTTCTCCCGTTGACGGTGATTGGAGTTTGTTGTTGTTGTTGTGGTGGTGGTGCGGTATCTTCATCACTTCTGTCTTCTCTATATTCACCTGAAGTCCCGTCTTAGCTGCCTCTTCTGTCAACTTGTTAGTTTTTGCCTGCAGATCTTCAAGTTTATGTGACATTAGGCATAAGTCATCGGCGAAATCCAAGTCTTCTAGGTTCTTTTCCTCAGTCCAGCTAGCGTATCCCCCTCTTCTCGCTGCCTACTGTTTGCTGCATGATCCAGTCCACCACAATAAGGAATATCATGGGGGATAGTAGGCAACCTTGTTTCACTCCTGTCTTCACTTCAAAGGCATCACTGAGCTTCCCATTGTGGATTACTTGGCATGTGGCATCTTCATATAGTTGTTGAATGAGGCGGATAAAGGTTTGCGGTACTCCGTAGTATTGAAGCAGTTTCCAAATTACTTCTCGGTCGACGCTGTCAAAGGCCTTCTCAAAGTCGATGAAGTTGAGGTATAGAGCTGATTGCCATTCTACGCTCTGTTCTATGATGATACGAAGCGTTGCAATTTGGTCAGCACATGATTTGTACTTCCTGAAGCCTGCCTGTTCCGGTCGCAGTTTTGAATCCAGTGCGTCTTTAAGCCTCTCCAGGATGATGCGGCTTAATATTTTACTTGGGGTGGATAGGAGAGTGATTCCGCGCCAGTTCTTGCAAGCACTGAGGTCTCCCTTCTTCGGCAGTTTGACAAGGTAACCCTTCTTCCAATCAATGGGCAGGTACCTTCTCTTCCCTCCACACCTTCTGCAATAGTGGTGTGAGCATGTCCGCTGTTGTCTCTGCATCTGTTCTCAGTGCTTCTGGCGGTATTCCATCTGGTCCTGCTGCTTTCCCGCATTTCAGTAGCTTTATGGCGTTCAGGACTTCCATTTTCGTTGGGGGATTAATGTTCACTTGTAATTCAGCGGCTGCAGGTGGTATTTCTGGACGAAGTGCAGGTGGTGGTCGATTCAAGAGCTTCTTGAAGTGGTCGGCCCATCGTTTCCTCTGTTTCTCTTCTTTTGTAATTAAATTTCCTTCTTCATCTTTTATTGGTTTCATCTGTGTTGGTCTCTTCCCTGATAGCAACCTGGTTATTTGATACAATGTCGTCAGGTCTCTCTTACCTGCAGCCTGTTCTGCTTCACTTGCCAGTGTTTCGTAGAAGTGTCGTTTGTCTTTGCGTGCACTCTTTTTCACTTCTTTATCCAGTGTTTTATACATTGTGCTCAGTTCCTCTTGTCGTTGAGCATCCTTGCACTGGTTTATCTTCTGCTTCACCATCCTCCTCTCCCTGCTCTATCAGCTTCCAGGTATCCGTCGAGATCCATTCCTTGTCTTCTTTCTTCTTCCTTCCTAATACTGTTGTGCAGGTTTCTTTCCACATAGCTTTCAAAGACTTCCAGTGTTCTTCTACACAGGTTTCTTCAGGGATGTCCCTCGACGTCTCCCATTTTGTCTTGATGGCTGCCTTGAAGATCTCCTTTGTAGTTTCATCCTTCAGTTTCCGAGTGTTGTACTTGAATTGAGGTCTATCACCAGCTTCCTTGAAGGCTTTTAACTTGATTTGGAAGGGTTCCTTGCACTAGATAGTGAGTGGTGTGAACCTACATCTGCTCCTCTTCTTGACCTTGTGTTAAGTAGACTGCGTCTCCATTTTCTTGAGATTGAGATAAAGTCGATTTGATTTTTAGTGTGTCCATCTGGTGAAGTCCATGTCGCTTTGTGGATATCCTTGTGCCTGAACACACTGCCTGACTCCAATCACCAAATCGTTGAATGCACAGAATTCTGCAAACAATTCTCCATTCTCATTCATTTCACCTAGCGCCTCTCGACCCATGGTTAGTTCTCTTCCCGTGTTGTCCCCTCCCAGTTTGGCATTCATGTCGCCCATTAGAATTTTGATATCGCCAACTGAGACGGGGTCTTGTCCAGTGTTGATTGAAGTTGTCTGTAGAATTCCTCCTTTTTCTCTTGCTCTGCATTATTTGTAGGTGCGTGGAGTAGCATTGTATGATTGTGACCTTTCTTCCTTTTGAGTTGAATCTTGCTGTCATGATCCTGGAGGAGATTGGTTCCCACTGCATGAGAGCCTTCGATGCTCTTGAGGACATCATGATAGCCACTCCAAAACTCAGTGTGCTCGTGGTTGGCGTCTGGGTGACAATATCGGAGTAGATTATTGATTCTCCAGTTGACAGTTTGGAGAGTCCACTCCCATTCCATCTGCTTTCGCAAATCCCAAGCACTTCGATGTTATACCTTCTCATCTCCTTTGCAATCTGGGCTGCCTTACTGGGTTCAAACATGGTGCGGACATTCCATGTCCCCACGTTTACTTTCGCTTTCATCGAGAGAAGACACATCGGCCAATTGGCTTCCCGAAGGCTTTCACCAACTGGCGTCATTTCGCCTCTCCGATTCCAGCGGGGAATAAGTTTGTTTTCATTTTTTATATTTTGTTTGTGCTTTGAAGTTTCTTTAGCGGTTAGATTTGTTTTACGGGGTAGGGTTGCTAGCCCTATGCCCAACCTTCCCTCTTTACCCGGGCTTAGGACCGGCTAGTAACTAGTAAACTAGTTAACCAGGCGAGGTTACCTTGTTTGTTAGTCGTTGCTTTTTACACCTGTTAAGGTTTCATATCGATTACATTAAATAGTTTACGTTGTTGACTACTGACTGATAGAATCAAAAGTCGAAGTATTTCAAGATTCATTCTACAGTTATAATTATATACTTTTTTTCTTCTACTTTTCTCTTTCTTCAGTCATTGAAATCTTTAATTGATGCATACCACTTCAGTTTATCTCATCTGTTAGATCAGTTAACTACTCCGGTGAATAAAGATTTGACCAATACATTGCATGATATTCTTTTCTTGTCAAAACATATTCTTCATTTAATTAATATGTATTGATTTTGAAGAAACAGAAAATTCTAGTAATCATCTTTCATCATGGAATTTATTCACTCAAAATTGGATAATTATTCATTTCAAAACAATTACATTGAAATTTATCAACTACTCATGATTCGATTCAAATGTCTATACATAAAATTGAACAAGAGGAGTTTACATTATACAAAGAAAACAATGTTTATCTCTGCGTCTTCATTGAAGAGATTGTCAGCGTCATCACCATCACCATCACCGTCATCATTATTCAATTCTATTCAACAAACATTACCTTCTGCCTATTTGCCACCTAATTTAAATTTATTCTTTGTACTAATTCGTAATTGTTTAAATAATCTATCGAGCTTATTTTCCAATAGTAACAGTCAGTAATAATACTCATGTGCATAATATTGAATATATAAAGGTGACTGAATTCTCGAGTATTATTGCCAAGTGGATAGATCGAATTGAACCGGCTGGTAGATTGATGAATGAGTTGATAACTGAATACTTTAAAGAATTAAGTAAGTGAACTACAATTGCCTAAATTATTATACAATTTGATTCAATCTTATTCACTGTGTCAATTCACTGTTGTCGAGAGGTTATTTTTGTTTGTTTGTTTGTTTGTTTGTTGAATCAATTTCACAAATTGTTTTTGAACACACAATGGT